CTTATTAGTATTTTCTAAATAAAATATATACCGCTTTTATTATCATAGTTTTTATAACCTAAATTAAAAGTTATCGCTTCTTGTTATAGATAAAACGGAATATAAAATGTTTAATTTCTTTTATTTTAAACGGTAGCGATTAACTATAAGTACAAAACTATTATTAAGTTTATAAAAAATACTTTAAGGATATTACTTTATCGTTTTAAAGTTCTTTATATATTATAGTTAGCTAGTTAAAATAAGTATATTAATAGAAGTTAAGGTTATAAAGGCTAAATAAATAGTATTATAATTATAAATAGGTTTTTTAAAGCCATATTTATAGGTTATAAAGTAAATAAAGTTTTAATAATTAATTATAGTTTTATTAAAAAGGGGTTTTAATAAAAATAGTTAAAAGCGATTATAAAATCTAATATTAAATTAATTATTAAAAAAGCTATAAAAAGTCTATTTTTAAGCCCGGCTTGAGTCTATATTATATATAAGTCTTATTTTTAAATATATCTTTTATTTTTTAAATTATTCTTGATAAGTTTAATTTATAATAATTGTTTAGCCTTTAAATTATATTAAATTATTTTAATTTAAAATAATCTTTATTTTATTATTATATAACTTATTTATAGTTTTTTTGTTTTATAAGGAGTAGTTATATTCCTGTTTTATTTATATATATAGTGCGCCGTAATTACTATAGTTAATAAGCTAGTTTTTAGGTTAGTTATATATATTAAGTTATAATAGAAGTCGATAGCTTTATTAATAATACTTAATTAATAAAGATAACTAAGATCTACTACGGTATTATAAAGAGGGATTCTATTACTAACTTTATCTAGCTACTCGGAATAAATAAGATCTATAGTATTTTTTAAAAAAGCTATATATTATAGGTTTTCATATTTATTTATATACTATCTCTTTTACTTATCTAATCGCACGTGCGCTTATATAATACTAATAGATTTCTAAATAAGCGGGTCCTAAGTTAACCTTTTATATATTAGTTTTTTTATTATATAATTACTTTATATTTATATCTAAATAATAGTACTTAAACTAACCGGTTTAGCCCTATTTAATAAACTAATTATAATAAGTTATTATATTACTAATCCGGTTATATAAATATTAATTATATAACTGCGCGTTACGTAGGTCTAGTATATAATATAGAATTTATAATACGTATATATATAAAATAATAAATTAATATTATTTTAATTAGCTATATATAGCCGCCCTTTATTAAAGGGTTATAGGGTACGATTTATTAGCGTTATATAGTTACTAGTTACGTAAATTAAAAATCGTTAAATATAGGTAAATTTAAACTACCTTCCTTTAAATCGTACTAAAAATTAAACAAGCGCTTAGACTCCCTAGGCTCACACTACTAAGCTACGCAGCCTTTAAAGGAGCTATAAGCCGTAGGATTCGAAAAGAGTGCTAAAGATAGGAAGATCGGATTGATGTATTAAAAACGAAGGCTGGGGCTATAGTAGTAGGCGTAACTAGAGTAACTTGGCGAAAATCACTTATAATAACAAAAGACTTACCTTTAAATTTTCAAATTCGTGTCGCACTATCGACCGATACCCTTCAGCAGTGATTTTCCAAATCCAGTTATAATCATGTCTGCCTGTATTGCCCGAAGCCTTTTCCGCTTTCCTACTGTACGGAGCACCCAGTTCTCGGTACTTGTAGATTCCACCCTAGGTTTCGGATTGGAAAATGCGAATGCTACCGAAGGGTTACCTTGGAAGGCAATAAGAGTTTGTGAACTGCGTCCCATCATCGCATCTAGTGATGTATGCGACATATGTTCTTTCAAGCACGGCCCAAGTGACGACCTCCCCAAGACTGTGTGATTTCTTTTGGTCGGATCGAGTTTGGGCAATTCATGTGGTGTGTAAGCTTTGAGCGACCTGTTATATTGATCGAGTATTATCGGAATGTTCAATACTAAAAGTCCCACTGTCGTGTCGCTGACTGTAATAACCAGCTAGCTGCTTGAGGTGTATTGATCTATGGAAGATTTGACTGTGAATATGACGATGCGTACTGAACCTCATATTTCCAGTACTTCACTGTCGACACTTAAAAGACAATTGTCTTATATAATATTGCGAGATGTTTGGCATGGCCTCGAACAGATATATACTGCATGCTACAACGCGAATTATATCCATATTTAGCCGTCTACGTTTATGCCCTCTTCCTCTTTCTTTTCTGTGTCTTTGCCGGTGGTTTGTGTTTGTGAACCAGCTTCAGGCTCATGTGTTTCTCAGCCACCCAAGTATCCTCTTCGTGGGGCCTACCATCCCAGTGTATCTGATATTCTGTCTTTCCCTTACGAAATCTGGTGTTCAACACCCGGACTCCCTATCCAGAGCCCTCATACTCTTCCTCAAATGTTTCGATCAAGTTGTCATCAAGGAGGTTTTCCCGAGGTTCCCAGCTGCAGGTGCCATCCATCCAGCGTAGAAAGGATAAGTTTCTACCCCATCTCCCTGGAATTTGATCCACCGTGAAGGTTTCATTGATATCCTCATTCATTGGCAGCTGTCGGGAAACGGCTGATTGAGGCAAAGAGCCAGCCGACCGCGGTGGAACATCGTTGTATCCTTCCTCAGCGAGGAGAGAAGGATCGACAGGCATGAATTGGAAGGTACCGGCATGTGCTGAACTTTCATACGCGTATGTACTCTCGCAGTCAGTCAGAGTTGATCTCTGAGGTGCTCCGCCTTCAGCGCCCGAACGTAAGATAATTCGAACTTTTTTGGGTCGTGAACAGTCTGCCTCCGGCTGGCATGAGATTGAATCTCTTGGGCTGTCCCCTGATGTACTATCCCAGAGGGCCAAGACTTCATCTGAAGACGGCGTATTTTCGAGATCAGAGGTGCATAATCCCCCATCCAGAGACTCCGGTGAAGGTGGAAATTGAAGGTAAGATTCCATGAATTCATCCCCCGCGATTGCGTTCTCTGTCTCGAAGAAGAGCTCATCATGCATGAGCGTCTTCGAGGTGCACCATGAAATGTCATCTCCAGTGCATTTGGTGTCTGCTTTCGCTGACTCATTGTAAGCTGCTTCGAGTCCGTATTCCAGGTGACCATAAGAAGGCGTATTGCACGCCAGCGAGGATTCTTCTGGTGTAGTGTTCGTCCTTTTGTCCCCACGTACAGGAAGGTTACAAAAGTATCACCACAATTACAGTTGAAAGAGCTGTCTCCTCCTGTAACTACTCTACCTTCTTTATGGTATAGCCCTCCAAATCAACTATGGTAATTGGTTGATACCCTTCTGAAGCAGAGAAGGTACAAGCTGGCCTGTATTTGCAGCTACGCTCATTCTGATTAGCTCAACACCCTTCCCCGTGACATATTAAAAGGGCTGTGGCACTCAAAGAGATAACAGAACAGCAGTTCGAGGTTACGCAAAAAATTGAACACGTCATTCGCCTTTGGACTGAACACCAGCCACATTGGCCACACCAGCAACCTCTCAACTCTCTACTCTTACATGACTGTGGCGGAGACTAGACTCGAAAGGCCTCAATGCCTGAGGGGTACTCCCCCTTGTCTCAAAAACGATGCATCGCATGGGTATACTAACAGGGATCCTTCTTATCTTCACGGCTGACTCCTACGTGGACGAGAGGGAACGAGCATGACTGGGCTGACAGTCATGACATAATTGTTGCTTCTGCATGCCGGCGCGCCACGACGAAGTCTAGTCAACCGTTCAGCACTCGAGAACGTCGAACTTGTAGCGAACCTTGGAAAGCGTTGTCCTGTATGAAGAAGCGATCCACGATGTAATCCCACTTTTGCGTTTTTTCTACGTAGATATTGTTGAATCTGATGAAATGAGAGACTCTCCGAACATGTAAGAAGTTTGCAGAGAGTATGAACTGTGGCTGGACCAAGATTCCAATATTGAGTGACAGATTTTGGTTAGTATGCTTGTGGTTTAACACCAAATAAACTGAGGTGTGCTGAATGGAGGTTAATGGAGTCGGCTGGACACCTGAGAGTTTGTCCTAATTGGCGCCTTTCGTACCGTATGGTATCGCTATGGATGCCAGCTTCTAAACATTTCAAGACCCTGGACGTACAACACTGCTGGTCAAGACGGTATTGTCGGAATGGAAAAAAGTGATTGTCTTGTAAGCTGTTTAGTTAGCGTTACTATCAGAGTAGCAGCTAATCGGGCGGTAAAGGGTCATGCTCAGCAACACGTATAACCCGTTTTCTGCCATTACTGAAGCCAACTTCTCGATCGTTCTTGAATCCTCTTCTTGTTCAAAGATCACGGCTTACAGAGATTCAACCAGCTACTAGTAGCGGAGGTGCGACGACGTCCAGGGGGATTCCTTTGCAGTGTGATATACCTGACAGGATTCTGATTGTGCTACGTTACTAGTAGAGACAAGTCATCATGTAAGACTCTCTACTAGCAGACCTCTTTCATCCATGTAAGCCTCCCTACTAGTAGAGAGGTAAGTAATCACATAAGCTTGTGCAAATAGAGGCAAGTAATTATACAGGCTTCTACAAGTAGAGACATACTTGCCTCTCTACTTGTAGAGGTGATTACATGATTACTTTCCCTCTACTTGTAGAGATGCAGTAGCGGAAGTGTAATCAATATCAACACTTGTCAACCTTAGCTATGTCACGGCGCTCGCGACGACTCTGCTAAACGGTACTGGCAGACTAGAGCTGGGGTGTCTCTTTTCCTGCAAAAAGGCCCGGCGCCTAGCGGCTAGGTCTTTGACGCCTCTCCACGGGCACAGACCAGTGTGTATTGCTATCAAAGTATTATCTCTTATTTCTCATAACTTAAAAACTACCACTGTAAAATAACATGAGCAGAATAGCTTAGATAGCCAATACCTAACCCTTCAACCCTACTAACCCTACTAACCCAACGGTACACTTCTCTCTGTCTAATGGGAGCTTATGGCATGGAGGCCAGCAATACGTCCAAAGACGAGTGCCCGCATAACGGCCACTGCATTTGGAGCCTTCTCGTAGAAATGGCCAGTAATCTCACCTGCAGCATATAGATTAGGAATGATGCCTCTCTGGCCAAGAACGCGCGCTTCCACATCAGTCGCAATGCCGCCGAAAGTGTAGACAATGGCCGCGGCTAAGGGGAATGCGGTATACGGCGGAGCGTCGAGCGGCCTAGCCCAGTTCGATTTCGATGGTTGCAAGCCTGAGGTAGTGGCGAGATTATCAAGCCGGCCCGCCGTAAAGCCAGACATGTTTGCGTTACAGGCTGCATTGTAGTTTAAGATTGTGTTCAGAAGCGCTTGTTCCGGCATCCCCATCTGTGCCGCCAGACCAGAAATCGTGTCCGCTGTCACCGGCGGCATATCGGAGCGGATAGCTGCCTCATGGTCCTCCAATTGAAAAAATCTGGAATCACAAATTGCCCAGGCTAAGCGGCCCGGTGTGTCAAAATGTATGGTTCTGGAAAGATGCTCCCACGTGTCATGCACGAGTCCAGCACCTTCATCTACGAACCGCTTTCCGTCCTGATTCACCACAACCCCGTACGGGTAATTGAGGACCAGTGGCGCTGGCTGACTGCTCCGTGGGTCGATTACTTCGCTGTGCATTCCGTTCCAATCGCCAGAGGCCTTGGCTCCGTTGGCCAGCGCCATCTGGATGCCGTCGCCGGCGTTCCAGGCCGTCCCAGGTGATATCGGTCTCAACGTCTCCGCACCAGGACCAAGATGAGTACGCAGCATGTCTGGACTGCCTTGAAACCCACCACTGGCGAGCACAACAGACCGGGCAATGATTCGTCGCCCATCAGCTGCCTCAATCATGGCCTGTCCTCGGCCAAGATGAAGTCGCTGGGCACGGCAATTATACACCAGTTGGACACCCTTCGATTTGGCTGATTGCTTGAGGGCTTCGACAATGGCAGCACCTTTGCCAATAGGCTGGATCCTGTTAGGCCAAGATTTCAAGAAATAGTCCATGGCGTGAAACTGCACCCCCTGCTTTTCGAGCCATTGGAGGGCTTCAGGGGCCTGGCTAGCCAGCCTTTCGAAATACGCGCGGTCGCCACCACTTCCGCTTGCAGCCACCATGTCGTCCACGAAGCCTGGTAATACCTCATTGACAGATGGCATTCGCATGTTGGCAGGGCTCCAGCGTGAGTTTCCCCCGCTCGCATGCTCTGGTGCATGCTCTAGCACGGCTATCTGCGCCGAGGGCGAGAATTCTGCAGCCGATACTGCAGCGGCGAGGCCGGCAATGCCATGACCAACTACGACAAGGTCGTACATGCTGATATACTCGAGTCTGAAAATCTTAGAGGACTCGGCTTCAGGGTGTTGGTGGTCTATGTCTCTTGGAACACTTCTTGGTCGCGGTATTATTTGGAAATTGAGGCTCTTACATACAAGCTTTAGATGCTCGCGGACTCCTGCAGGGGTGAGTGCGCGTGACCACATTGCGATGACTCGATCTTCCTGAAGTAGAGTAGCCGCTGCAGCAAAAAGAGGTGCGTCAGAAATTATTGTGGAGCGGACGGTCCTTTTGTAGCGGTGTGATTTGATTATACCACAGATGGCGTAACGTGATTGATAAGCGAATATCCCAGACAAGCCAATGTCCCACGAATCGACTCTTCTATATTATCATTATTTGATCAATTAATCTACAATAACTAAGTATGGCAGTTCCAAATAATGAGGCTAGTATGAATCTAGCACTTCAAGCCCTTCCAAAAGACCTAGAGCTAAGCGTATGACGTATAGTATAGATCTACTAGGTGTATAGAAAGAAGCTACGCTGCCATTAGTAGAGTATATAGCCTTGAAGCGACATTATAGGGTAAGACGTTATTAATGTGCGGGCCCCTCCTCTTTTGCTTACTGTGCGCCTGTAAGGAGGTAATAATAATAGCGATATGTGGTCTAAGTTAGATGCTAAATGCGAATACGGGCCTAAGTACCCTAAACTCTAGAGAATATATAACGTTTCCGGATTCTATCCTTTAGAACTTATATTTCGCTTCTTATATTTACTTTATATAATACTAGCTACTATTAAGCGTATACTATTTTTGCGATTTATTAGGCCACTATATAGACCTAATCTATTTATATTTTAGCCGATTATTATATATTATAACTTGTAATAATGTAGTAGATTAATATTTAGTCTAACGTACTAGGCCTGCCGGGTATTATTTTTAAGGAAAATACTATAGTATATAACGTTTTATCCCCTTAATAAAGCAATCCGCTAGGGCCGTACTATATATTATATATAAAAAAAAACTAAATATATTACGCTCTAAACCTAATTATTAATTAAAATAGTTTTTAACTTTTTATTACTTTTAACTATTTAGAGAGCGAGCTTTATTTATTTTAATATATATAAAACCTTTTAATATTAACCCGTTATTACGACTTAATATATATAACTAAAACTAGGGCCCGCCCCGCAGGCCCGTATCGGCTATAGCGTACTATATATACATAAATAAACGGAATAAATATATTATTTAAAAGAATAGAAGAACTATAAAATAAGTTATATATAGATAAAGACGTAATTAAATAATATAATAATTATAGTAATTACTTAGAATAAGTGCTTATTAGTATTTATTTAGTAATTATTAACGAATAGAATATATATAAATAAAGGA